CAGCACATTTGGAGAGTGCAAGTTAGGAAATGTGTGGGTGTGAAAGCTGGACAATGAAAAAAGCTGACAGGAAGAAAATTGATGCATTCAAAATATAGTGCTGGAGGAAAGTTTTGCCAATACCCTGGACTGACAAAAAGGCAAACATGTGGATCTTAGATCAAATCAAACCAGAACTTTCCTTAAATGAAAAAATGACATAACTGTCATGTTGGGCACATCATGAGAAGGCAAAACAATTGCAGAAGACAATTATGTTAGGGAAAAGTAGAAGGCAGAAGAAAAGGAGGACCAAATATGAGATGGATGGACACCATAAAGGAAGGCACCACCTTGAATTTACAAGAGTTTAACAAGCCTGACATGGTTATGGCATTTTAGAGAGTTGCCATAAGTCGGAGACAAATTAGGGAATACAAGTCACATAATAAGTTAGGGAAAGGCTGCTGTAACCTAACAGTGCCTGTTGCAATAGGTTGAATGAGGAACTGCTTTGTTTTGAAGCACCACCAAATCCGAATTGGGGAAGAAAAGATCCCTATGTGGAACAGGATTAGGACTGGAGAAAAGCAAAAAGGAATGTCCCATAAGATATAGAAGCCTTGCACGTCCCAAGGAGAGCTGTTGACTTCTTGCATACAGCATTCTGGCCAGCCACTGTGCTCCGGCTGCCACAATTCCTCAGGTTAACATCCTCTAATTTCAAGGCTTGCCTCAAACTACAACCACAAAAGACCCCAGCATGAAATATTTTCTACTCTTCTTGATTAAGCCTAAATAAATAAAGTCCTTTAAAGTTGTGAAAGCCTGAAAAACCAATACTGTGTAAGCAGGTGTGCTTACCTGACTCTTGTCAACTTTATTTAAAACAATCACAAAAATCCCCTTGGCTATGTTGCTCATCTGGACCTGTTTTAGGCAGAGTTGAGCAAAATGCTACCTATCAACTCCCATCCTTTCCTCAACTTCAATCAAGAAAGAAGCACTCATTGTCTACTTTCCTCCTTTAATGTCTTATTCCAACATCCATGAGCAATCTTAGGAAAAGAACTAGATTTATTTTAAGTGCTAAATCCTGAGGAGAGGGACAGAAAGAGCAGCCCAAATCCATAGACAGAGATAAGAGCCTTTCCATCCAGGCAAGAGTCCATGTTTTTTGCTCGGAAGATTTATCCCCCTCAATCTCCCCTTCCATCCCAGAGAAGGAGGTCCACAGATCCCTCTGTCACTTCACAAGGAGCAGCTATAGAAAGGTAAATCTTTGCATTATTATCTATTGCCCTTCTAAGTAGCCCACATGCCAATTATTCTCATCCCATTCCAAATCCCTCTGTCTTTGGAACTCACACATGATTTTCTATGCACCCCACCGCATCTAGCTTCCATATTGATTTAATGCTCATTATCTTCAGCTTCCTAAATGTTAAGGTGTGGTTTTAATTCCCTGGATGAATGTGTAGTTTGCTCAATGTGTGGTTTTTGTCTTTAATGAAATAAAGACTTGCTTCATTAAAGTTGTTGTTTATGGTCTTTAACTCTCTTAACCTTTAACAATATCAGGTTTTCCCAAGCACCCAGAATTTAACATTAGAATGTCCCTCATGTGTTTGGTTTACATATATATATAAACACATTCATGTCAATAAAAGCATACTTTGTAACAGCTGACAAGGTTGTGATATTCCCAAGCCCAAGCAAGACCACCGATAAATGGATCCTGAATTGCAGTAATTGTTAGTTTTACAGTCTGTCCTATTATTAGTTTAACTATCATTACAGTGCAGGTAGTAGAACACAAAATAACAACATGCTCTAGATCAGGGTGGTCCGACACACAGCCCACAGGCTACATGCAGTCCCCAGTGCCTTGTTCTGTGGCCCTCTTGCTGCTCATAGCCCCCGTTCTCCCCCCCCCTCACCCCGAGTCCAGATCCCAGAGATGTCATGGGTATGATTGTTGCAAGCTTAGGAAGAGAGCGAGTCTGGGTGGCAGCCTCACATGAGCTCTCTCCAGCATGTCCCACATCATTTCAGCTGACAAGTGCAAAGGCTCCATGGATTCGATGATTATTACTTTCAGTAAGCTGGAAGAATTTGTTGGCTCAGGTGCAAGAGGCTCAGCAACCCAATTCCAAGAAGGGAGAAGGGGTCACATGGGAGGGTTTCTGGGCAGGAGAACAGGGAAGAAAGGGATGGACCATCTCAGAGGAGCAGTCATTGTGCTTGGGTTGTGGTCACAGAAGGAGCTGCTTGTGAGCTCTGCAGATCTATAAACTAAATTACAAAGTCTTGTTCCTGTATTAGTCGTGCAAAATGGAAACCTAAGTATAAAGTGGCCAAGCCTCTGGACACAATAATATTAGAACCCACCTCACCGCTGTCCATGAATAAGTGAAGCTGACAGAGGTTCCTATGCAGGTTCTACAATCTGACTAAGCCTATATGCATAAAGGTATATACCTCTATGAGCACAGAAGGCACGGTGGTGTGATTATTAGTGTGCTGGACTCTCAGCCTAACCTACCTCACAGGGTTGTTGTGAGGATAAAATGGAGCTATGTAAGCTCTCCTGGGTTCCTTCTAAGAAAATAAAGCAGGATATAAATGTAATGTCGTCGTCATCATGCAAGCTTCTTCACATAAGACACCAGTAATAGCTTGTGTATAGCAAGAAAGGACTGGGGTCAGGGTGAGTGACATGTTACCAGGAGTTCACTCCCAAAGCCCCTTTTCTCACTGCCTGATTCTTTATGCATGAAACAAGTGAAGGGATCTTAAAAGGGATACCATTTTCCATATTCACCTATTTTCACATAGTATCATAGGCACATGGAATACTCAGACACTAAATAAAGCTAGAGAAGTCTAATATCTGTGCATCCACTGGCCCACTGCATGATTAAGATTCCATATTCACCATCTGCAACTGTTTTTCTTCCACACATAATCTTCACTTATCTTTTTTGTAGCAATCAACAGCTGCATACTAATAATGTACTAGGAACTAAAAGTTATTCTGATAAGTAATTTAAATCTTATCTCAATATGCCAGACAATATAATGAACTATAGATATCAATGAGAAGAGAATTCTTATTCCTTCTATGCCCAGATGCCTTGAATACTGCCATCTATAAAACTGGTCAGTTTCACATGTCATTGAGAACAATTACTTCCTAGTCTCAAAAGGTTTTATTACATGAAATTGTTTTTAAACAAGTTCTTAAATAAAGTTAATTAGCTAAAATTCAGGTATAAATGCATTATCTACCACTACAATCCATTTGCAAAACTTCCAACACACCTGCTTACATGTCTTCATCTGGATTTTAGGCTAACACGTGAGACATCATTTTTTTTCTTCCACACAGCCATTCCCTTTAATGAAAGGGAACAGGAAATTAATTAATACATAAGATAAATGCATTGCCATTTGTAAAGACAGCTGCATCATTTAGAAGAAACTCTACTGTACAAATTTTACAACAGCTATGCAGACACTTCATAAGGATTTTTTGGTCATACAGAATTTGTCTAAATAGAGTAACAGAACACACAAAACAAAGTCACTGCTTCAGAGTTCTATCACTTTCCTTGTTAAGTAACTACTGAGTATAGTCAAAGCAACAATCCCACTGCAAGTCTCTAGATATGACAATAATGAAGGTGCAGATGAGCTGATACTCAATGACGTATTATTGTGCTATTACTATTGTACTATTAATTACAGGACAAAGGGAATATTGAAGGGAATATTTAACAAAATAAAGTGTGCTCCCAAAATGCTTTCAATTATCATTCAAGGCACAAAGCCATGCTGCTGTAAGCATCTTACATAAATTGATAGTGTTAAGGAGCCTATGAGCTGTAAACAAAAAAAAAAAATATTAAACATTCTAGACCCTTACCAGTATATATGCAGAGTTCACAGTTACTAGAATTTATGAATTTACAATCAGTAACCCCAGTTATGTCAATGCTGACTTCTTTATGAGACTTATTCTCTGTAGGACTTTCAAGCAGAAATTTAAACACACACAAATACACACACAGCCATTAGCCATAACAGGATTATGATAGTCAACCACCCAAAAAGTCTGGGTTCAATTGCGAAATACCAGAATTTGCAAAAAGATTGCTCTAGTTCAAAGATCTATTTATAGCTACCCTGCCTCTTTTCAGTTCTCCACAGACCCTCCCCTTTCCAAAGCCAAATAAAATTTAGTTTAATAGGTGGATCTAACTCTGGGCTCTGTGCAGCAGAACTGGCGTGAAGCTCTACAGCAGCAGCCATCCAGAAATCTGCACCTAGTTTAGAAAAGTGGGAAGAAGAGGAAGACTACTGCTAGACTGCACACTATATAACCAGATTACCACCTCTGGCTCTACCACGAGCCAATCATGAAGACCTTATACTGCTATGTAGTCAAAGCAATAATTTAAATGTCTGCTCCTCCTGCTGTCAGCAATAGGCACAACCAATTGGTTGAAAACCAGAAAAAAAGTCCACTCCATTCAGAGCTGACCAAAGCTAACAATCAATCCCATCCACGCAGTTTTGCTTTCGTATTTTATATTTAAGCAAGCTATCTAGATTGTTCTGGAGTGAGGGTCGCTAAGCCATTTCTCGGAGTTGGAATCCAAAAATAAAAAGGTACGCTCTACAGTTTTCTAATGACGAAGGTGAATTCACTGCGGGTGGGGGGGGGCATGAAACCAAAAAGACCGGCCGATTCCTCTTCCCTCTCCCTGGACGCAACATCGGACATAAAATTACTACCGTGGGGAAGGCACGGCAGCATGTTTTCTCCAGCATCTGGTAGATTGCAACATTTACCTACTGTCTCCCCCGACCAATATCCCTTCTCGCGGCCAATCCATGCGCTTGTCCTGCTTCCCGCCCTACTAGCTCCAAATCTAGCGAGGTGACAGCACCACCACCTTGGCAATTACAACCCACTCACCTCTTCGATCAGCCCCGCCACCCTTTCCCCCTCCCCCAGCCCAATGCGGATTGCGGCCACTGGCAAAAGAAAAAGAATAAACAAACCAAGCGAACAGGAGACGTGCCTTTCATCCGAGAATAGGAAGCGGCGAAAGATCAGAAGAGGGGGAGACACCGCGCAATAATCCGAGGGAAGGGGGGAGGAGAGAGATTTGTCCCGCGCCGCCCCTAGGATTTGCGGGAGGAGGCGGGGTGAAGGGGAGCGGGGCAGGATAATCCCGCAGAGGGCGGGGAGATAATCCAGCGCGGGAGGGGGAAGATTATTTCCCTTCCCCGCCACCAGAATTGGAGATTATCCAAGGGCTGCACAAGAGGCTGGCTAAAGAGTTGGGAGCACAAGGGACCACGACAGAGTGACAGGGTGGGGTGGGGGAGAAAAGGCAGCGCAGGCTGAATTCCCCATGACCGGGTGGGCACAAGCCTCCCCTTCCCTCCCGGAAGATACCTGCGTGAGCCCCAGTCCCCCGGACCAGAGGCCGCCACTTGGTTGGCTCATGCAACACAGGGGAAGCCGCGAGTCACGGGGCAGCCTCCACACTGGCAAGCCGAAAGACAGCCTCCGTCCCAGACGAGCCTCCCTTCTTCTCTTCTCCCTCCTCCTCCTCCAAAATAAAACAGGAGCCTGCGAGCAACACGGCGCGAGCAACAGGACCTCCTGCCTGCCCCCGCGGGGAAATGCGGGAGCACGCCGCCTCCGAAAGCCGCCGGAGCAAGGAGGCTTGGGCAGTTACCGGCAAGGCAGTCGTCGGTTAGCTGGTCGGCTGGCTGGCCTCGTCTCCCCTCTGCTCGCTCAGGGGCTCCGATCGCCCGATCGCTCGCACGCAGGCACGCACACCCGCCCGTCCGCCCACTGGCCGGCCGCCTTCTCTTCAGGGGGCGCCGCTTTGCCTCAGCCCCATCTAAAGATCTGGAATGCTCGAAGGAGCTTCACGAAGGCACCGCCGCTAGCAGCGCGCGCGCCAAGCGCTCTCGCTCTGTCTCTGTCTCGAGCGGCGCACACCGCGAGGACACGAGAACCCGCCGCCGCTCTCGCTCTTTTGCGCGCGCGAGGATTACTACGCCGCCGCTCTTAAAACAGGACGCGCGCGAGCGCCAAAGCTTTCCCCGAGTTGGTCTGGTGGGTGGGCGGGCGGGCGCGCGCGCGCGCGGGCAGGCGGGGAATAGAGAAACTCCTCCTCTTTTCTGCGAAGGCCCATCCCTTTTTAACTCTTTTCCTTCCGCATAGCACTTGGTGCTCCGTTTTCCCCCCACCCGCTTGGGAAATGCGGTTTCGCCATTCATTCTGATGCAAAGAAGACAAAAGGGAAAGGGGTGGGGAGGCCTTGTCCCCTGTTCACCTACCTAACAACAAGGACAAAAAAAAAAAAAAAATCCCGAGCCCCATAGCAGCCTCCAAGCCTACCACGTGTGCCAGAGGGAGGAGGAGGTGCGTGGCAGTCCAACCCCCATCAGCCGCACCCGCCAGAACGATCAATGGGCATGAATTATGAGAGTTCTGGTGCAATAGTGGCAGGACCACAGGTTCGCCCATAGGTGAACATTAAGGCTGCAATTTACTACGTGGAAACCGGGAAATACGTTCCACTGAATTGAGTAGTTTTACTTATGCCTGCACATGAAGAAGATTGTATTGTTAGCCTGACCGAGGAAGCAACCCGGATAGAAAGTGGAACTTATACTACTGACTCAATTTACAGGGAACTATGTTGTAAATATATCACCCTTATCTCAGGGTGTGGAATGGGGGAAAAGGTAGTTTGAAATAAGCTTGTATGTCCATTGACTTTCCTATCTCTTTCTGTTGGCTGAAGTAAGAGTTCACCCTGTTGTAGTTAAAGTAATTTTTATGCTCCAGGCCCACAGGTAGTTAGCAATGAATTCCGTGAGTAAGCTGCAGTGTATTCATAATTTGCCTGGGCTGATCTTTCAAGATGTTCTGCTTATAACAAGTGAACAGTAGAGCCATTTTAAGACTAATATCAGTGTTGTGATTGCTGTTATCTGTGCATGTGACTCTTAAAGAGCATGTATTATAGGTCCCTAAACAAAGGGGCTTACAATTAAAATAGACATGGGGAAACTACAGAAGAAGGGGGAAACTAAGGCACAGGAAATCAAGGGAACTATATGTAATTCCTTCCATTGCACCTACTTTGGTATAGTTACAATAAGTGTAGGGACTAATAGGGTGAAGCAAAATCTTCCTGGAAAAGGTGAGTTTTTAGGAGGCACTTAAAGGAAAAATGATCTTAGAACAAACAACATTGAAATAGGGCAGGGCGAGGGACCCTGCCTGCGTCTTACACCAATGACACATTTAAACCTTTGTTTTCGTATATACTGTTTGCAGATGCAGACTTTCCAACTGCACTCCAACTTCCATCAGACTCAGCCAGTGTGGCCAGGGCTGATGGGATTTGTAATCCGACAACATCTGGAAGGCTGTAGATTTCTCCTTTTCTTTACAGAAATGCCAGTAAGAAGCATGGAAAGAGGCAACCTCCTTTTGTCGGGTTCTCTATCACTGCGTTTCCTTTTCCTGCTTCTACAGACTTGCCTCACAGACTTGCCTCAACGTGTTGTCTGACTACCTGCAGTCACAATGCATTATGTTAGCCTGTCTTCTCAGAACCTCCCTCCTCCATTGTCTTTGAGCTGCTAGACAGACACCTTTGTTAAAAGGTAAACTGTATTAAAAGGGTGGACAGATGTCTGCTTAGTGGTTAACTTGTTGTGAAGGATTGTACTGGTCCTCGTAACACAGAATATCTCTTTGTGTACACACATGTATTTATGTGTACATGCATGCTTCAGGCCATCCCTTAACCTCCTCATAACTCTGAAGAGAAATGTGGATGGAAATTTGATGGAGACAGTCTACAAGTTTTTATAGCACAAGCTACAAGTTAATTGCCCTGGTTTAAAGAAAGGTATCTGCAGCATAAGCTTATTCATGGTTATTGATAAAGTCCCAATGATTTCCAGGGTGTTTATTCCTAAATCTGTATAGGATTGTGAGAAACAGACACAGCAGGCTATGCAAGACAATAAGCATGTGATCTCTGTGTATGTGTAGTTCAGCTATAGGGACCACAACTGCAGAATGTAGTGATGGCCATCAAGTTAGACAGCTTTGAGAGAGGAATAGACAAATTCATGAAGGATATGACTATCAGTGGCTACTAGACCTGATAGTTTTATGCTCCCTCCAGTATCAGAAACTATTTGCCTATGTACACTAGTTGCTAGGAAATACAAGTGGATCAGTGCTATTGTACAAGTGTCTTACTTACTGGCTTCCCACAGGCAGAGTTAGCCACTGAGGGCAGAATGCTGGACTAGAAGAACTCACAATCTGATTCACCAGGGCTCTTACATCATTATGGATTTATTAATAGGCACATGACCATATCACAAGAATCTCTTTCATGTCCTCAGTAGGTTTGCCTGACTTCATGAACAACACACATGGCTGCATGGCATGGCGATGTTTTAGGGGTGTCAGTAAAATCACATGCAGAAAAGGTGAATTCCACTGGCCTTCCTGAAATTGCAAGGGATTCTGTGCCCACCTCTTGGATGATGCAACACAGTTGCTTAAGTTAACAAAATACCTTGGACTAGCACCAGTCCTGCTCAGTTTCTTGTCGGTGTGTCTTTGCCTCTATGTCGAAAAGGTTCTCTGGAAGTTTGTGCTGAGATCTGTGGAGAGCAATGAATCATGCATGGCAGGTGTGGCTCTAGGTGTTCATTAGAGATCAGTGAATGAATTTCTGAGAAAATGTTTTTCCATTCATGGCTGAGCCCAGCTTCCCAGTCTCCAACTGGCAGTGCCCCTGGAAGTTACACTGGAATTAGGCCTTCAGCTTTAGCTAGTTCGACCCCATGTGCTCCCAAGGAAAAGCAAGACATCAATGCTTGGCCTGCAGTAGCACAGCTGATATCACGTACCAGGCATTTTCCAATAGAAGTAAGTATAGTATAGCCCTCTGTGTCCTGACAGGTGCAAGGTGAGAACCCCTGTTCAGGGTTCATTGGCAACAGAGACATCTTTGCTGCAAACTGTTTACTTACCACACATCCTGCACATGCAAGACACTGCTCCAGGCTGCCAGGTAATTTAGGATTATTTAGGGGGAGATACTCTACAGCCTTGGCGTTTTGATGGCTGCATTTAGCTTTGCTCACCTATCTCTTTTTGTAGGGGAGGGGGCAGCTAATGGAAGGATGGAAGATATCCAAGTGTTTTACTTTGCAGCATAATCTTCCTCAGCAAGAGGGTGTGTTCCTTGTTTTCCAGCATGGACAGCCTCAGTTGGATGGCTGGAGATATGGTTCCAACAGAGTCCTGAGGTGGAAGTCCTGCAAATGGCTGTAGAAAGACAAATGCTGTTTCCAGTTTTCAGGTGCCTGTTATTTGTGCAGTGTGCCCCATCACCAGTTACCATTTGTGTGCTACAGTTTTCCAGAAAGGATGGCAGAGTGAAGGGGCTGCAGCCTAGCTTGGCATCAGCCTAGCTTGGCACCCGGCATGATGGGGCAAGTGCCAAAGCCCACAGCAGCTGATGCCAGCTTCCCTCTTTTTAATGTCTACTTTTTGTTTAAATGGCTCTGTGCTGTAAGATGCCATATTGGGCCTGATTCTTGCATCCACTGTCTTATGCACAATGCTTTGTGTCCTGCCCCACAAGTACAAATCAAGGATGGGGCCTACAAGCATTTGAGGATAAGGAAGCTGAAGGTAATTGCTGTAGTTACTTAACTTACCACCATAGGGCAGAAGGAATATCAGGAAGGTGAGCTGTGCTGCCTTCAGTGCCACTGAATGTCCCTTCTGCTGTCCACCACAACCTCCTGCCTCCATTTTAAGCTTTGGAGAGGCGCCAAGTAGGTACTGGTGGAAACTTACCAAAGAGACCCATTCCTAAGGCCCTATTAAAGCTGGAACCAGCCTTGGCTTGAAGGGGCCAGTTATTAAACATGTGAGCTGTGTTTTTCTCTAGACTGATACACTAGTGCAGTTTGTTACTGATTCCCGAGTTGGTCAGAATCGTTCCATCACCTTTTCTTGCAGGCACAACTCTATGTAATTGTGGGATGGGACTGACCACTTTTGTATCCCAAGATGATAATATAGCTATCCAGTAGTTACCTTTCCATAATATCTTTGCAAAATGTTTTGAGATATGCATATTTTTATTGCATATAAAATGTCTTTGCAAATAGCCAAGGCTCAGGAGCCTTTTTATTATTCACTTACTCTTGTCATAATCATAGTTTTCTTAATAAGGCTACTCTGGAGTAATTATCTTATCAACTGTAGCCATATGCACATATTTGCATTTTCTTTCACTTTCATTTCACAGAGAAATTTGACAGCATATAATAACAACTAGGCATGTACATGTGCCCTATCACATAGTTTATGCTGACAGTAAAAGCAGTATTGAAGCACTGTACGGGAGAAGATATGGAATCAATGGCCAACAGTAGATACCAAGGAAACCCAAGCAGGAGAGAAGACCTAATCATCCAAACAATAAATCCCTAAGGAGCAGTTTCTATATTTTAGAAAAGAATTTGATCCACCAAAAAAAACCTTAGCTATTTAGTCATATAAATGAAAACAGATAAAGTTTAATATTTCTCTTCCCATGCCAAAACTAAACTACTGTTGGCTTCTATGTGACAGCATTTAAGAACACATATACACATGGAAATGAGCTATATTAAGAAAAGAAGAACATGATGAACATATGGGGCTGAATCTACCCAAATGCAAGTTGTTTTAGCAATGCCCATTAATTTTAACAGTGGAGATACTCATGTGTTTTTCTACTGAAATCTATGGGGCTTAAATGTGTTTAGCCAAGGTGGGTGTCAGGAGTTTGCTTGGGTGGGCAGCTGCTGAAGGTCCAAGAATTCAGAAGCACCCATACCAACCTCAGTATCCCTCATGGAAAACAAATAAGTTTCTCTAGCACAGCAGATGGTGATGCATTTTGGAAGGAACTGAATTGCTCAGCTCCCATCTGTAATGGCCACCTGCCATATTATTTTACTTGAGCTGTAAAGCC